ACCCATGAGTCTTGCACCAATTGCCATGTCGTCAAGACCTCATTTGGCACAACTAGATCCGGCTATGTGGTACCAGCTGTCTAAAAAGAAAAGGAACAGTTCTAGCACTAACCTGTCAGGTACATAACGTAGAACATGTTGGAGGTGGTCGAAAAGGATTATTGACGTGTAATGGAGCGATTGGAACGACTGATGGCGCTTCGATGGTGAGCTGTCAGTCTGAGGGCAAGACTACTGCTGCGGAGTATTGCTGAACTGGCAAGCCTTCGTTGGTGGCGACGATAGTAGGCCGAGAAGGTATCCGTGGCAGTGGTTGTACGACAGTAAATGCTTTTAGGGTGTGGGTGACAGTTGCCAATAAAGCATTGACAGCTGTACAAAAGAGATGAAAAGCGTTGATGTATGAAGAGCAAGGTAGAGGGAGCGGCTTGCAGTCAGTCGGACGGGGATGGGGGAAGCATATGTGCCTACTGTGGGATGGAGGAATATATTGCAGCAGGCGAGTGTAGCATGTATCCAAGCGCGTCTCGCCCACCAGTAAAAACGGAGGGGCAATTGGGCTTGTGGAAATGGATAATCTGCGGGTCTTGTTGCGGCTCTGAATGAGGGAGACCCATAGTATGTGCTGGCGAGAAGGTAGCCAACGGTAGAGGTTCCAGAATTTTAGCTAGTAAGAGACTCAAACCTCAAAAGGTACAGCCTGACCGGTTCGCTCTTGCCACCGTGCTGCACGCAGTAGCGCAGTGAAAAAACGGCTGGCGATCGGACACAATTGCTGTAACCCGTTTTCCCAAGGCTGGACATGTCTCGATCGGCATTGTGCAGGTTTAGACGCCTAGGATGGGCGCATAAACAACGAGGTGGCAGACGTGCATCCTAACAGCACTCTTTGCTCGTATCTCCCGGATGCACTGGGCCCACTAATGCAATATGCAAAGTGAGGGGAGAACGCAAATACGTCAGACTCTGCACCCTTTGTCAAGTGTACCGATACCCTGAAATCTTGGCAACAGAATGCGTGATATCGGCGTATGGTTTGGGAGGCAGGGTCTGAAAGGAATCAGAGACCAGACCAGACGTGCAGCAAAAAAATGGGACTGCTAATCGGCTAGGGTACCAACCACCAGAGTCGCGACTGGAGAGGAGTTGGACACGATTGTGTGACTGCAAGACAATGCAAAGCATAGTGGCTCGAAGCGAGAACGCGTCACAACAGGCATAGCATGGAGCTACCCGACAGCCCCAGGGGCGAGCGAGACGAGTTGATTGATGCGTTCGAGGGTTCGAGGAGATACCTGGGGTTGGTGTTACCAGAAAGCATCAAGCGTCACTGCCAACGCATACATGCAGAAAGCACGGTCCTCTGAATATCGCTACTGGGAAACGCGCCTGCAGCTCGAATAGGGAAAGGGTCAACGGCTGTTAGCTGTAAGCCGTGTGCATGCAGGCATAAATTGGCATTGCGGAGACTGTCTGATGGCGCTCAAGCACGTTCGCGAGACGTAGTGGAGTACGGTTTGACAGGCGATGATTGACGAGGAGAGGACAGCTGGAGGGGCCAGGCGTTCTCGCGCACGCGATCCCGGTCAATCGAGAGAGACAGAGATGAAGAGTTCACAGACCCTGGGATCCCCATGTTCAAGGCTGATGGTAGGGCATCAAGCAGTCCCCACTTTGCCGAAGTCAAGACATTGAAGATAGCAGGATGCCAAGCTCAGCACGAACGGGTCTGGAGCTTTGGGAGGAAATTTTCGAATCGACACAAAGGGATCATGCGTCGGGCGGCTGCAGAGCGTACTCGACAATTGACCTGCCGCGAAGTGGATAGCAGCAGTACAAAGGTTGAGGGTGCACAGAGCAAGTCGTCGTGGAGCGGAAGCAAAATTCGGACGATTCGATAGGCCGGCGCGGTTCACGACAGGCAGCGGTGCATGGCTAGGTCCCAGGTCCCAGTAAGGACCGCTTCTGTCTGGCGCCGATCCAAGATGGTGGTTGATACATGGAGCGGGACGATGGCGCTTGTGAATAGCGGCAACGAAGCGCAAGGAACAGCCACTTATATTGGACAAAGAATAGCGTTTGAAGTCCAGACGAGCGCGTCCAAGGCCAGCAGAATCAGCGCGGAGATGAGTGAACGAGCCTCAGAACTATGTCGCACGCGCGGGAGATCTGTGGATGACGCGAGCGCGCCAGCACGGCCACCCGCCCCAAGCTGCAAAACAGGCGGTGAAGAAGCCAGCGCTGTCAACCATGCGCCCCTCTTTCTGCGCATCAATTCTTGACACTACGCATTAGCAAAGAAGACTGTTTTTCGACCTACTCGACCGCGAGAGAGGGCGGCCATTTGGACCGCAGAGTCGTCGGCCCTGGAGGCGTCCTGTCGTGGACATGTCGTCTTCGAATCGGCCTGATTCCATCAATAGGCTACTGAAGACCCACATGTTCGAGCGCTTTTCCAACCAAGAGCACCCTCACCCTCCTGTTCAGCCTCGCGCGGTGAGAGGTGGTGCTGCAGCCGGGTGTGGTGCAGGGTAATCTAGAGGGGCCGGGTTTCGCGTCCATTACCGATGCTCGATGAGGGACACAACGCACCGTCCCGACCCTCCGAATCTCGACATTGCAGATTGCAGCCCCTCAGGGTCCATTCACCCTTACACAACTCGAGGATGCGGTAAAGGCTCTGGCCAGCTCTTTCCACGCTCCATGTGTGACGTCTAACAGCATATGACTGCCATCCTTCACCGGCATCGGATAGCGGTGTCTGTCGTCTACTGTCAGTAGCATCAGTTACCCCACGATCCAAACCGACATTCCCTCTCTAGTGACACGTTTCAGACTATCGAGACAGGCATGGATTGCGCATCGAGAATGTGCGCCTCGCCGTCTCGTAGCAGACAGGCTACGTAATTGCTGTCAGCTCACAAACAGACCACCCGTCGTACAGGCGCCGTACGCGGGGTCAACGGCCAGACTACGGCGTCCGCAAAGAGCAAATGTAATTAGACCGTAGATGTAGTATGTACGACGTCTTGAACAATACGCTGTGCAAAGCGTAGGGGAACCGACGTTGACGTTGACGTTTCGAATGGCTCTCCGCCTACTCCGGAGTCCGACAGAATACCTAGATATACCAACTTGACAGCCTCACACATGATATACACATTCATACAACGAACTGAATCATACAAACCACTACTACAGCTACTCCCAAATCACCAGAACCGACAACCGTCAAGATGCCTAAGATCGTCCGCCTCACCATGTTCAAGATCCCCGACCAGGACATGGTCAAAGAAGCCATCCAGATGTACAACACTCTCGCCCAAGACGCGAAGAAGGTACGTCGAAGCCCTTTCTTGACTCGCCAACATCCCCTCCAAGCCTTCCCATTCCCCTTCTAGATCTCCATACATACCCGCTCTCTGAGCCGAGTTACGGCCAGCACATATCCATCGAACGTGCAGTGCATACCGCCCGTCCCCTGCACGACGGACCATCTCATCACGTCGGGACCCCAGATTTATTCTAATCGCCCTCGGGCTATTTCCATCTTGCACTCTCGATAAGAAAAGAGCGGATAATGGCGTCAACCCTCCTCTTCGCGCGCGCGGAGCAATGTCCCTGGCGGGTAATCGCTGGAAATATTGCCGCGGCTAGGAGAAATGGGGTGGGGGTGACGAGGCTGCAGCAAGCGGGCGACACCAGCGCGCGGAATCAACTCCGAGTCACGACGCACATATCGGCCGCCTTGGATCCATTGAAGCCTCACGATGGACAGACTGACGCTAGAGATATACCGACAGCCTCCGCACCGACTGACTTCCGAGGCTATCGTCGTCCGCCGTTTGTTGTTTGTTGCTGCTTATCGAGAGGATGCATGCTAACGTCATTGTGTTTTTGTGCAGGACGGCAAGACGTACATCCAGCTTGCACAAGCCAATGCCACCTATGACGACCCGCGCAGCCAGGGCTACACGATGCTGGCGCGTTGCATATTCGAGTCTAAGGAGGATATGGACTACTACGACAACCAGGATGAGGCACATGCTAAGATCAAGGCGCACTTTAAGCCGAAGGTCAACTCGCCACCGCTCGTCCTCTACTCGGATATGGCATAGAGGGGTTGGGATGTGGGGTGTTGAGCGCTGTAGTGGAATACATGGAATCGAAAGAGTAACACATGGCAAACTTTGTTTTCTGTTGTGATGATGGTGCCAGAAATGACGAAAGATAGCGCCTATGCCTACGCAATTATCCACGACAACATCAGCCGAGTAGGGAAAATAAGAGTCTTGCTCGACCAGACATACGTATCGACAAAGCAAAGAACGTGATGACTGGGATTGATCGCATCAGACCTAGCTGCAGTCTCATTACTCGGCCCTTCTTTGTCTGGTCCAACATCTTTGTCTAAGACAACTCCGATGGTTTACGTGCAAACCGAACAGTACGAGCTTGAGTTCTTCTATCGTCTCGCCCGAAACTTCGGGTTAAGATAACTGCCTGACTTCCAGGCAAAGTCAATAGTCTGAAATCTTGATTTCAGATAGTCTTTGATGAAGATCATCTACTGCCACGCACAAGACATGTCAACCATGAGTGAAACATCTGCTGAAGCTGCTCACCAAGCACAGAAACAAAGCCATAACCACAAAGAGTATTTTATGCCGACTTACAATGACCAAAGCCAGTATACAATGTCACAATCAAATTGATTCCGCTTCTTTCACCAGATGAAAGAGACAACATCTTTACTGTCCAACAAAAGATACCCGTGTATCGTGGTCATCTCCGGCTACTCATAAGAGTGGAATTGCACTCAACCACATCCCTATTTACCTAGATAGCAAATCTGAACGACCTCATGGGCACGCAATAGTCTTCGACATAAACTCAAACACTAAACTCACCAGCACGATAACATCAACAAAACCGGAAAACCTTTCCAATTCTACCTTAACTCCTAAACAGGTGCCCGCTGAAATTTCAGCACAGGAACCATGTCACCAAAAAAGGGTCAAACACCATCCTTACCAGGTCTACCAACGTATGACTCCTCCGCCTCCTCCTCCAGTAGCTCAGAGGCAGAACCAGAAGACTACAAACCAAAGGTCAAGCAAGAAGCAGCCACAACCCAACAAGTAGCCGCAACCCAAGATGTAGAGCCAGTCCAAAAGGCAGAGCCAACCCAAGAAGCAGAAGCAGCGCCAGGAGTCGTGGGATACACCTGGCCACCGCCGGGCTCACCCACAGAGTCCGACACCGACGAACCCGAACCCGAACTTGATCCACTTTCAGATGATATAAATTGGGATGCCGACGAAGAACCACACGGAAACGATGGAAACGAGGGGGAAAACGAAGGAGAACCGCAGACCAGCTTCGTCGGGGCCCAGAGCCCCATAATCGAAGAGCCCATAGAACGTATGTACAGAACCCCATCGTGGGGACACTCCGTATACTCATTCAACTCAGCAGCTTCTTCGCCACCAGATCCAAACGTCAACTCAGCGGCTTCATCGCCGCTAGGTCCAAAAAGTCCCACTCCACCCCCTCCTTCCCCAGGTCCACCTGCGAATAAGCCGAAGAAAAGAGGTATGCCAGTCGGTATTGCCCCGCGAGCAGGACACACAGATGCGGAAACGGGTATGGAGGATGACGCGCCAGATGCTGGGGTAGCCCGCGCGGTAGCAGCAGCGAAGAAACGGAAACGCGAGGAGGAAGAGAAGAATAAGCGCAAGGCTCCGCCAAGGAAGAAAGTACGCGTGGTGTCACCGGAGGATGACGACGAGTTATCGGATGCGCCGTCAAATCCCGAACCTCCTTCGCCAGTTGCGGCTGTAGTTGAGAAGGAGAAGAAGGGGAGGAAGACCAACAACAGTAAGAAGGAAAACGCAAAGGCGGGATCAAAGAAAGACCCTCCTAAAAAACCGACAAAGAACACCCCGAAAGGCGGTAAGGGAAAGAAGGGTGAGAATATGCAGAAAGTGAAGTGTAGTGGGAGAACGATAAAGGGCGAGCCGTGTAAGAAAGAGAAGAACATGAAGGAGGGAGATGACTATAATTGTGGGAAGCACAAGTCTGATAAGTGAGGTAAGGTAGGTGATCGTAACGATAATCAACGTGTAATTGTACGCAATCTTCAAATGCAAAGCTTTGTTTTCAGGTTTTGGTATTCATACCTGCAGTACAGTACATGCACACATGATCTCCGTCTCCATCTCCATCTTCATCCCCATTCTTTCCCGTTTCCTCTTGAGAAAAGGCAGCATGCCGAAGCACAATCTTGCTTGTATCCCATCGCTAAACCCAACCCAACCCAAAGCATCCATCCATCCATCCGTACTAAACCAGACGCTTTTTCGTATCGTGAACACACTCCCCCATGCTGAAGAGGGGAGATGTAGAGTGTTTGTAGAGACGCCTCCGTAGAAAATGCACAACTACTACCACGCAGTTCTATATGCCAGCCGGAGTGTATGCAGAAATATACAAGAAAGATACACGTTATTAAAAAAAAGGTGTGTGTAGAAGATTTGCGTCGACATTTTATTCGACCGGGTATCTCGTGGGTGCGTTTACATGATAATCGAAGGAGCTGAATAGCGTTAGTAACTGTGATCCATATAGTGCGAGAATGTGGGGTGTGAAGGGAAACTTACTGTCAACGTTCTGCTTGATAGACTTGTGCGGCAGAACCGAACCACCATTAACGTAAACCTCATCCCCAATCGTAACATCATCACCAAGCACAGTCACGTTCTCGAGACGCGCCCACTTGCCCACGGTGCTGTTCCAGCCGACAATCGACGACTTGACCCAAGCGTGGTCCTTGACGCGGCTGTTCTTGAGCAGCACACAGCGCTGGAGACGCACACCGTCGCCGATGACAACATTGGGGCCGATTGTCACGTTGGGACCGATGCGGCAGTTCTTTCCTATCTTGGCAGACTCGTCGATGAGCACGTTGCCGCCGTAGACGTAGGGTTCCGAAGCGGGGGTCAGCAGCTTGGAGTTCTTGCGCGCGAGCGAAGAGAGGTAGAGGCATGTTCCCGACAGGAAGTCCTTTGGTTGACCGACGTCCATCCAGAAGCCCTCGAGGTCGAAGGAGTGGAGGAGGCCATCCTTGACAATGGCGGGGAACGTCTCTTGCTCGATAGATGTAGGGCGCAGCTCGATGCGCTTGAGCACGCTGGTGTTCATGATGTAGATACCGGCGTTGATGCGGTTGCCAACGAACTCGACGGGCTTCTCGACGAAACGGTCGATCTTGGAGGCGTGGCCGGGCTTGTGGACTACGACACCGTATTTGGAGGGCTCTTCGACCTTGGTGACGACGATGGTGCCTTCGTCGCCGTGTTGCTTGTGGAACTCGGCGAGCTGCTTGAAGGGGTAGTCGCAGGTGACGTCGGCGTTGAGGACGAAGAAGGGCGAGTCGTCCTTGCCCAGGACGTTCTCGGCGAGCTTGAGGGGGCCGGCGGTGCCGAGGGGCTCGGTCTCGACGGAGAATGTGATGGTCACGTTGTATTGCTTCTCGTACTGCGCAGCCGGTTATTCGTGTGCTCTGGTTTGCAGAGGGGCGGGTATACTCACTGTCTTGAGCGCCTCGGCCATGATCTCGGGGCGGTAGTTGACTGCGAGGACAACATCTGTGACACCGGCAGCGGCGAGGGCCTCAATCTGATGCTGGATCATGGGCTTGTTCGCGAACTCGACGAGCGGCTTGGGGTAGGTGAGGGTCTGCAATTCGCGTTAGCATGGCCGTTGCTTTTGGCATCGCGGGGCTCTCGAGCGAGCGCTGCGCGGGGACGAGGGCGTACGAGAGGCCTCAGACGGGTACCGAACCCTCCGACGAGAATGATGGCTGCATTGGCTGTTAGCTACGTACAACAGAGTCGCAATTGGCCAGGCGTACCTTTCATATTGGTGGTGGTGTAGTTGTGTAAAGGCGCAGGTACTAGGAACTTTGTCGCAGGGAGGAACGGAAGAAAACAGTCAAGTCTTCCACACAGCACAAGCAGACAGTGATTGCCGGGTATAGAAGAAGAAAAGAGTCACACGGTCGAGTGAAAGCGCAGGGCAAAGAGCAAGGGAGCTTGTTGGTGATGAGGCCAGCTGTAGGTTATATGCGTCGAAGCACCCGCGTCCACAATTAGCGGAGCTAATGCTTTCCCTGGAAATGTTCTAGCTCACACCGGCGCCGGTTCCCCTTTCTTTCACCCACCACATGCGCAACCCCCGAGTCCCGCTACGCCTCGTTAAACCAACTCCCTAACCGCTATCGTGATCGTGGCCTGGCCAGATGGGCCCTGTTCCTGATCGCTCGCCCTATCCGCTTCTAATTCGGGCTGTAGCTTCGTGTTGTGACTGCTAATAGGCTGAGTTCGTATTCCATCACGAGGGAACAATCAGCTCGTCTCATTTCTGCTCCTTGGGTACGTGACGCTGGTCACCGCTCTGTTCTCCCTTTTCCAGAGCGAATTGCACCACGTGCCCGTGAAGCTGTGAATTGGGCGGCGTGGTCATCTCAGAATCTTCTGATCACGCCTCGGTCCCCACGTCGGGACCCTGAAAGCTATCCGCGCCCTTGGTACCGCCGACATGTGGCTGGCTGTGGCTGACCGAGAACACTACCAAGCCTTTGACAAACGCCAATGTATCTGTCACGTCGCTCATGGTGCACCTGATCAATCATCAATGCACGACGTTTTGGATTTGCAGATCCATGGTACCTTATCCGGCCCCTCACAGCCACACTCACGATGTTCGCTCCGCTTCAATCCGCGTTCATGCGACGCGCGTCGTATGTTGGTGGCGAGATTGCCACAATCATGCGTCCAATGCGCTTACGCAGTCTTGAATACGGGTAGATAAAATAGAACTGCGCTTCTGCCGTTATTTTGATCTAGTCTCCACGATGTTCTTCGGTCGCCAGCGGGACTCCCCTCGGTCATCGCGAACCATGGACATGGCATGCCGGAACCAGACCATTTCTTCTCCGCATGCATTGGCTGAACGCTGGTTCTGAATCATGTAATATACAAACTCCCCGTACAAACGCCCAGAACACGTACTATACACAACTTCGTAACCAATCTCACATCCTACAGACTCGTGTATTATCTCAACTCCTCTTCCGAAAGCTCATGGACCTCAACGCATCCCCCACACTACTCCCCCGCTTAAACATGCCCGGTCTCCTCCCGGGCCCATCCGTAGGACTCTGCTCGGGTGACAAACGCTGCCCTTGATTCCGCGGGCTCCCCGTCTTCGTCGGCGTCTTAACCAGCCCCTCACCAAACGCAAACTCCTTTGCGAAAATCCAATTCCCACGTTCATACCGCCATAGATCCAAGCCCACGGCACGACCCTCCTGGTTCCTCTCGCTCAACTCCTGGCGTATCGTCGCAAACGCGCTATCCACTTTCGTCTCCTCATCGACTTTATTCATGACGGTCCAGTGAGGGCGGAAGCCACCTGCGTCTTGCTCGCTGAGGAATTCAGACCATTGGGATTGTAGATCGGCATGGACGTTCTTCATCTTTGTGTAACCTGAGTCGACGTTGATGCCAACGCCTTTGCGCATACGGAAGGGCTTGCCGGTTGAGACGTCGAAGGGTTGGATGCTCCCCGATACCTGTGCGAGCCCTTGTTCTAGCGCTTCCATGTGCGAATGTGGGAGTGCGTGGAAGAGCGTCAAATGCGCGCCTGTGCGGTTGAGGTGCTTAGGGAAATACTGGTTTCGCATGTCGTCCATGGGTTTGGCTAGAGAATCTGTGAGTTTGAGCGTGAGGACGTAGACCTGTTCGTCTTGAGAAGCGGTGTTCGGTCTATGTTCTTGTCGGGGATAATGTCCTGATGGTCGACTTTCTTCCACGACGTATGGCTCATTGTTGGCTTGCTTGGGACTGGTCTTGCCTTCCTTCTTGGTTGACCAGCCGCGGAAACTCGTTTTGGCACGGATTCCCGCGCCGGGGCGTTGTGGTTTCTTGGCCTGCTCTTTTTGCTGTGCTTGCGTTGCTTCAAAGGATGCGCGTAGATCTGGGTCTGAACAGGCTCGGGCTTGGATTTGAGGCTGCCGAACCCCGCCGTTGGGTGTGCTGACGGCGGCTGCGTAGGTAACTGCCATTGTGCTGAATCGTGGTGATGCTGCTAATGTGATCCTGTTAGACGGTGATGATGACAAAGATTGACCCAGCTGCCTGAGGACAGCAATCCTCATTGAAATTGGGAACGTGGCTGGTGATGTGAGCACTTTCACGAGCTGCCCCTTGAAATGTTGTACGGAACTTCGGAAGATCACATACGTCACTCGACGGCCACTAGCGATGCGCCCGCGCTATGTGGAGATGCCTCGAGCTATCGCGTTTAGGTTTATAGGACGGGAGTACCCCAAACCTCGTGATTTGAGGTGGAGATGCATTGAGTCGTAGGCTTCGAAGTATTGAACCGCAGTATTATTAAGTATATGTAGCTGGCCAGAGTGTTCAACCGCCGCAATGTATGCTTGCTCGTATTCTGAGACCCACAGTTCTCGCTTCTACAGCAACCAGCTGCCTGCAGTCTATGTGAACTGTCCACGGGTATCAAAGACTCCCAGACTCCACGGCCTAAAACACGGTATCTGAGCAACAAAGGTCCCTAGATCAGCGTCTGCTGGTGGTGCGCCATCTTCCAATCACCTGACACGCCCTCTGAAGCACCTTGCAGCACCCATGCGCTCGAGCAGATGGCCCTGAACGTCTCGCTGTCCCTTGTCGCCTCTACGCGGTAGTAGATCAGCGCACTGTCCTTGCCCAGTATAACGACTTCATCGTGACTGAGTTTGTATGATTTCCAGGGCTTGAAGTCGGGGCCTTGAAGCATGTTGTGGACTGTTGGGGACGATACGGAGGTCAGGATGAGGTCGCTCGGGAAGATCATGACGGGATTGCTGGAGAGAAGCGGGACGAGTTCGGCGCCGGAACTGCATAGCGCTGCCCAGGCTTTGTGTTCGAGCGAGCATATCGCAGCGGTCAAGGACGGGTTCGTGAGTGTTGGCGTCGTCATGTTGATTTCGAATGTCGCAATGACTGAAATTGGTATCGGGTGA